AAAAAAGATTAGCAGTTTCTTGAGTTTTATTTGGTTTGGTGTATTTTACAGGTTAGATAATCCATACACAAGCTAGAAGGGGGAAAAACCCAAAAGCTTGAGACTTTAACAGGCCCACAGCATGAAAAAGTCATCACTCCTGGCCTTTAGACCCCATCAAGTATTTATTCAAACCTCAGATTTGCTATTAATTGACATATAGCCTTTATTTTAGATATTCTACAATATAGTTGCTCTTTTGTTTGTGAGGGAAATACTATAGCAAACACAACAAAAGCCCTGTCCTCGTGGAGTTTATAGAACAAGTATGCTAGCCTTATTCTAGATAAAGGACCAGATAGAAATTTGTTCAGCATTGCAGGCCATACAGTTACTGTCCCTACTACTTAACTCAGCCTTTATAGCACAAAAGGAGCATAGACAATTTGGCATGTAAACTGATGGACACTGTTTTATTCCAATAAAACTCTAGTTGTAGACACTGAAATTGGGATTTCGTGTAATTTTCATGCTATGAAACATTTTTTTTCCTTTTGATTGCTCCCAACCCTTTAAAACCATATAGCCAGGTCTTGGCTCACAGACCACAAAACCTAGGCCAAGAGCTGAGTGTGGCTTGCAAGCCACAGCTTGGTGACTCCTATTGTAGAGGAAACAGTTGGACCAACAGGCAAAGGAACGACATGTCAGCAAGTGATAGGTGCTATGGACAAAAAGATACTAGGGCTGAGAAGTTAGGGCTCTATGGATTTCGAGAGGTTGTCATTTGAGGAGCTGCTTGAAGGAGACAAGGGAGCACTGACTACCCGGGAGAAGAACTTTGGCCTTTTTCCACCTGGGGTACAAAGAGGAGACCAGGGATGCATGGCCAGACCGCCAACTTAAAGGGATCACATTGGTAAAAGTGATGGAAGGTGAGGCCAACAGGACTCGTGAAATGAGGACAACGGATGTGAGAGAATGAGGATTCAAGCAAAGTCTTGATCTCAAACACCCAGATAACGGAGATGGTAATTTTCTAAGATGGGGAGAACTATCACTGCTTGAGCTTCCTCAGCTGCTAAATGTTAAATTAGCGCCTGCTCCCTTCAGTTGTACTGAACAGTGAGTGAGATGTGAATGGCATGGCCCAGGGCTTGGCGTGTGGTTGACACTCAGGAAAGCGTAGCTCTTATCCCGTCAGCTCCTCCTGGATCTGCCGTGCATCTACGCGTATAAGTTAACAGTGTTCACAGCCAGGTAGCAACCTATATCTAGGAGGTAATTCTCAACAGCCTCTTATTTAAGGAAGCTTTTGCATGCCCAGCTCGTTTGGGAGTTGATCTCCATTAAAGTTGAATGCTAAGATTCTTTAGGATTTATTTTCCTGTCAAATTTTCATTTTGCTAACTGTATATGGAGGGTGCATTGTTGCTTTGGACGTAAGTTGCTAATTACCAATACTAGCTCCACTCTCACATGACAGGGTACTCTGAGTATTTCAAGCTCTGGCCCTAGGGATCAAGAAAGACAAGACTTCTGGGTAAAGGATACGTCTCAGTTGGACCTTAAAAGACAAGTAGAGTTTTATAAAAGGGAACAGACAAAGAAGGCAGCAGTGGGATATGGAAATACATGGTCTATTGGGTGAGTCATATTGATGGCTCATCTCAAGGTGCTTATACTCTATTTTCTGTTACCCGTGGGAATCCATTGGTGGTCTCTCACCAAGGAGAAATCTAGGCAGGGAAATAAAGGCAAAAACAGAGCAGGTACAGAGCCTGGTTAAACGAGAATCAACATAAGAACAAATTTTTGAGAATGGTTTCCTAAGCCCCTTCCCAGACTTACTATACCAGAATATCCTAGGGGTGGGGCTCAAAACGGTGGATACATGTTCCCATGATAAGTTTCCTGCAGCCACTGTTACCATTAAATAATTATAATATTTGGTCAAGAGAGAATGAGGATGCTCCATGGTGGTAGCCTAAGAAACAGAGGGAAAGTTACCCTTTAGAGCACATTCTGAGGAAGATACCATAAGGACTGGGTCATCTTAGATCTTGAGGGTGAGAGGTGTTGCAAAGAAAACCTGTTGTTTACATTAACTCCTGTCTCTAGTTTTTTTTTTTTTTAAGATTTTATTTCTTTATTTGAGAGAGAGAGAATGAGAGACAGAGAGCACAAGAGGGAGGAGGGTCAGAGGGAGAAGCAGACTCCCCGCTGAGCAGGGAGCCCAATGCGGGACTCGATTCCGGGACTCCAGAATCATGACCTGAGCCGAAGGCAGTCGCCCAACCAACTGAGCCACCCAGGCGCCCTAGTTTTCTAATTAACTTTTCATGTAGTACTCTTGAAGACGACCATGGAATTATTTCTCTCTGACCAAATAACCTTTTCAAATAATCTAAGT